TCAAGTGTGAGGGGTATCTGTCTTTCCCGAGCATGTCGACCGCCCCTCATTTCCGTGGGCACTGGTGACTTGGCTCTTGGTCGTGTGGGTCTGTCCGTGCTCCTGACGAGCCTTTGCATCTGTTGCTGCGATCTGGCACCATCGGGCACCATCAAGACCAAGCTCCTACCACAAGGACGACGAGTTTCCCTTCTAGGTCATGGACCCAGACGCCGCGACAGTTCCTGGATTGACTAACCTGGACAGCATTGCGCATTGGGCTGGGTTGTCTGGAGCAAAGGACGATGTTCGGTCACCTCGCGGCAGTCTCTTTGACCTTTTGGGAGTCGACGGGAGTGAACCTCCTCGGATCTTGGCATTGTTCCCAGCAACAGATGTTTCTGCAGTGCTTGCTCGATGGCAGATTCCAGATCCGCACCCTGCAACGACTTCATCAGCACCCACGGTAGCTCAGGCTGGTCAAGCTAGATTATTTGTCAGGACATGCAGGTTCGTTTGTGGTGTGGAGACCTCAGCGGCCAGTGCAAAAGCTGCACCTACTGCACCGCCCACACCGGCGCCTGCAGCTGGCAGAAGGATCAAAATGGCCCAAGTGATCAACCAGAGAGATGATCAAGAGATTGAACCGCTTGATGCACCTGCAATACAGAGGGCATACCGGGCCTACGCTGACAAAGTTGGTGGCTTCCCCCCGGAGGATGAGGAGCTGAGCGCTGACCAGCTTTCGACGCTGCGCAACCTGTTCAAGTCCGGAAGAACACCATACACCGACATGGCCATTTGGGGCCCCTATCAACACAGACTCCAGAAGAAAATGAAGATGAGAGGAATGCGCTTCGCTGCCAATGGCGAAATTCAGCCTGTGGAGATGTACGGCCCCACAGACTACGAAGCTTGGCGGGAATGCTATGCAGTGTTCAGGACTGGTGCAATCATGTTAGAAGAGATCACGCCAGCTCGGTTAGATGCCTACGAGAAACTCATCCGTAGGTACTCAGAGAGGTATGGAAAGAGCTGTTGGCCCATCATCTACCAGGCTGACGTACGGGCACGCTTGGAACAGTTGGAGAGAATTCGCCGACGAGGACAAGAAGCAGCAGATAAGGCAGCAGCAGCAGCAAGCCTCCCATGCTCTTTCGATCCTAGGAAGCCATGGGAGTGGGTCTTCGACGAGATCATTCACGACGTGAACTTTTGGAATCGTGAAGTCACTGAGCCATGCATGTTATACTTGATCGCGGAGGACGCACCGATTGAGAAAAGTGGCACGGCGTCCTCCAGCACGGCAGCGCCTCCACGACGCAACCAGGACGAGGCAGACCGTCCACCTAAGGGACAGAGAAGACCCGACATCAGAGAACACAAGCTGGGTGACGATGGATTGTTTTCTCACAACCGCAGGGGCGTTGAACTCTGTCGCCTCTTTCAGACAGGTGAGTGCATGGAGAAAGATGCCCGTGGAAACTGCAAGAGGAATCCACATCGACGCCGTCAATGCGCCAAGTGTCTCTCAGATAGTCATGGAGCCAACAAGTGCAATGCCGACGCGCCCAAACCCCCTCGCCAGTTTCACAGGAAAGGCAAGGGCAAGGGCAACAAAGGTAAGTGAGATTCAGAGCAGGACAAATTGCATGAGAATTCGAAGCCGCCTTTGAAGACTGGGACGTTCAACCCTGGTCTGAACTACGGCAATACCAAAGCTAATGACACAAACTGCACCACCGCTGGGACCACCACTGGCGAGGCTGCGGAGAGCATGGAAGAGCACAACGACAAACCTTGTATCTTGCATTTGTTTAGCGGACCGTGCAATCGTACGGACGGGTTTGCTGCTTTTGCTTTGAGGCGAGGCTACACCTGCAAGGAATTTGACATTGAAAATGGACAACAGTTCGATTTGACAAGCGACATTGTCTGGGCCAACGTCATGTCAGATATCCGGACTGGCAAATATGTCGGAATGCTAGCGGGGCCCCCATGCAACACCTACTCAAAGGCCAGGAGAAAAGATGGTCAAGGTCCTCGCCCTTTGAGAGGACCGCATGGAGCTGATCGTTATGGTTTGAGTGACCTTACATTGGCTGAACAGCAGCAAGTGAAGACAGGAACCTTGCTGGCGCAGAGAACTGCAGAAGCCACGTTGGAATTCAACACACTGGGACGACCGAGCATCGTTGAACAACCAAAGTGGGAGCAGTCCATGCTGATGAGGTGAGCGTGTACAAGTTGGATGAGTTTGAAGCCTTGTTGAAACAGCCAGCAGTTGAATTCCAAGACATTGTACAATGCCAATATGGGGCGACTACAACAAAGCCCACTACGTTGATGCTCAACAACATTGTTGGCTGGAAGTGGAGACATGAATGCGAACACCCAAAGCAGATTTGGATCAAGCCTAGCGCTGGCGAGAGGGTCAGGTCCTCACACCCACCGCTCAAAGGCAAGGAGTGGTTCATACTGGCGGAAGATTGGGATAAGTCGTTGTTGATGTCGCCACAGCAGATTAGAGCTCGCGACAAACAGCTCCCATATCTGACGAAGGCCGCACAAGCCTACCCAGCCAACCTGAACAAGGAGTTTGCGGAAGTCATCATTGCGAGCTGGAACAAGGCCTCTGAAAGCCGCCAGGGACAGACCGCACCTGCAGAGATGATAAAGGTGGGGAGATGGTCCAATGTCCTCACTCGAAAGAGACGCAAACTGGACATTGAACAAACCGTGACACAACGGGTCAGCTTCACTGCACCTTCAAGAGGCACCAGGACGAGGCCACCGTCCAAAGAAGATGAAGACGTGAAGTGTTGGGGTGGCATGAGAAACCCCAAGAAGATTTCCCTTGAACTCCCAGGTCCACATGATTCTCAACAAGTTCCTGGACGATAGACCAGAAGTGGAGCAAAGCTGCTTGCAAGCCATCGGTTCGGATCGACCGGACGCTGGACCAGACAGTTGGCAGTTATCCGAACTACGGGACACACTCATGATGTCCCTAGACACTGGTCAACAGTTCGTACTCAAACCGGGACTCGATACAAAGTTGGACGCGGGACTGATTTGGACAATGGCAAGAGCTTTTGGTGACCCGGATGCAGACACGGTTTACACTTGGCTCACCGAGGGAGCGCCTGCAGGAATAGACAAACCTATCGAGGATCCGGGTGAGGTGTTCCCACCCTATGATCTGGATGGGACTGAACCGTTGACTGCATCGCTTCCGGAGCCAACTACACACAGAAATTATACTTCAGTGGACAACGATGAAGCTGCCGGGCCCGAGGTCAACAGATTGATTAGCACGGGATTCGTCCGTGCCTTTGACAGTCTGCCTGAATTCAGGACATGGCTTGGTGGCGATCCTCACTTGTCGAAGTTGGGCATGATCACAAAGGTCAGAGACGGCAAGGTCAAGAGAAGGCTGATTTTGGATTGCAAGGAATCCGGGGTCAACGGTAGAGCCAAGAAGTCACACAGGCTCATCCTACCCCGAGCGACAGACGTGGTTGAGGATGCGCTCAAACTGTTGGAAAATTGCAAGGACGAACCGGAGGCCACAATCGAATGGTTGATTTTAGACTTCACTGATTGGTTCTTCAACGTCCCACTGCACCCGACAGAGCGCAAACATTTCACCTTGTCCCATGGCGGGCGATATGTGGCATATGTCACGCAAGCCCAGGGATCAGTTAACGCTCCCCTGATCTGCGGACGAGTCGCCGCCTTGCTGGCCAGGATGACACAAGGCATTTTTGGCGTGCTTCGCTATCGGCTTCAGTTGTACGTCGATGATCCCATTATCACCGTTGCAGGCACGGCAACACAACGCAACAGAGCCATGGCAGCAACCATTGTCTTGTGGGCTGTATTGGGAGTCAGGCTGGCCTATAGAAAGGCTGCAAGAGGGAGCGCAGTCACCTGGATAGGAGCCGAGCTGTCGTTGCACGATCTTGAGACTAAAGATCCCAAAGTCCGGGTCAAAGCAAAGCCTGACATTGTACGAGAGGTTGCTGATATGACAGAGGAACATGCCCGCACCAACGTGACCTCCTACAAGTCAATGTTAACCTGCGTTGGGAAGCTCAACCACATCGCTGGACTAGTTGAAGTGGTCAGACCGTTCATGACGGACCTCTACGGCGTAATACATGCAAAGGGCCCATCACGGGCTCCACCGGGCTGCCTTTGGAACAAACAATGGCGGCCAGTCACCCTTTGGCTGCTGGCCTTCTTCGCCAACGAAGCGTACTCCATCCAACGGTTCCAACGCATATACCGCCTGCAAGCTTATCTGGGCCAGGGTCTTGATCTGCGCATCATCACTGATGCAAGCCCCTGGGGTATTGGCGGAGTACTGACGATCAATGGAGCCTGCGTGGCGTACTTTACCTCAGCCATGACCAAGGCCGATGAAAGCCTCTTGCATCTACAAATCGGCAGCCCAGATGGGCAACAGATCGCAGAAGCATTGGCCATGTTGGTAGCTCTACGACTGTGGAGACACTATTGGCGCCAATGCGGCATCAATCTTCAGATGAGGTCCGACAGTGTGACTGGCCTCACGCTGCTGATGAAGCTTCGCACCCGAGTGGGGTCACACGGACTGAACCTCATTGCCAGGGAAGTGGCACTCGAGTTTGGCAACTCGGCATACAAACCACGAATGTTTCAGCATATCCCTGGCATAGCAAACGACATCGCTGACTGTCTCAGCAGAATACACCAACCTGGCAAACACTATGAAGTGCCAGCGATTCTGCAACGCTGCCGTCAAGAACAGTGTCAGGAGCGGGATCGCAGTTACTACATGACCCTGGTTGCCGCACAGCAGAGGGCGACAATTGGGCACCCAGATCATGACACGGTTTCACAGACGGGCAATGACCCTTGAGTCGCACAAAACCGAGAGCATCTGAACGTGGTTCCGTTCTGCAAGTCACTAGGTTGGTGAACTGAGCGTGGGCAACCGCTCAATATCCGTTGTTGGTGGGCGAGGGCAACCGCCCATGGCACCAGTTGGAGCGAGGGCAACCGCTCGCATCCCCCCTTCCGGCCTGCTGCGGTATAACCTCATAAAATATATACCCACACACGTCTACGTCCCCTCGACACTCTCTCCGCCCATCTCAGGAGCAGGACAACCACTACAAGGTGGGGGCGCGGCGCCACGAGGCGATGCCTGCAGTTTGAATGGAACGCACGATTTCATAAACCTCTGAATTCTAGAGCTGTGTGCTGCGTTGGTTGAAATTGAGCAGCCGCATCCTGATTGGTTGGAGTCATACGTCGTACAACAGTGGCTCAAATGACGAAACGCAGAAGGCTCCCTCCCGGCTTACCAGTCATTTCTCTGACAGCCATACATAATCTGAGCACACCCAGCTCAGGAGAGATCGTCGTGACAGAGCCCACGAGTTCGGGAAGCCGGACGGACACGGGGTCAGTGACTCACACCAGGGCGATCAAGGAAGCAGAACAACCCTCTGCCTCCAAAGACCTTGGCTTGCTCCGCGGAGAGACACCCCGGTTTGTAACTACACACGGAGGGCAAGAGCACTTCCGTCGGATGCTCCTTGGACGGAGGAACAGCGAACCAAAGCTTTGGAGGACCTGCAGAGGGACTATGTAGCCGCCAGCGCAAAGGGGCCCAGCGCCTCCTTGCTGAAGACCTGGGAACGCATGCGCACAAGAATGCTTGGATCGACAGTGCCCGTGTTCCCACTCACACCAGACAAGATGACGAAGGTGGCAGCGGCCTTCAAGGCCCTGGGGTACCGCTCCTACGCCAACTACCTGGCGAAGGCTAAAGAAACTCACATATCTATGTATGGCACATGGGGACCTGAACTGAGTCTCGAGGCGAGACTAACCACGAGAAGCATGACTCGAGGCATAGGACCGGTCACGCAGCGGATGCCACTCGACATTGAGAAGATCATTGCGCTTCAGAAAACCGACCCACTGGGACCCAATCCCGTGGTCGAGGATGGGCCGTGCGGAGCCCACAATCTGGCGGTGATCGGTGTGTTCTTCATGCTGAGAGAAGCTGAGGCGTCCATGTTGTTGTACGGGAATGTCATGATTGACACTCATGGCCAGATGGTTACGCTGAAGCTACCAAGCAGCAAGACTGACCCAGCCGCTGCGGCTGTGGACCGCTCATGGGGATGTGTTTGTGCAACTCACCAGAAGGAGGGATGCCCCTACCATACTGCCATCAACCAGAAAGAGAACTTGCTCCGGATTCAGAGGCCACTTGAACCTTAACCATATGCCCTTCTTCCCAACACGTTCGGGGAACACGGTGGAGAAGGCCAGAGTAGTGGAGACCTTAGAATATATGCATGAACGAGCAGGTTTGGACATCGTGGACGAGGATGGGACCAATCTCCTCGGAGGACACAGCCTAAGATTGGCAGGCGCAAGACTGCTGACGGCGGCTGGTCTACATGTATATCAGGTCGAACTGATGGCAAGATGGAACAGCCCTATGCTCCTACACTACGCCAGGGCAGCGCCACTCACTAAGGTCACTCAGGAGTATGAGAACGCGATCCATCGCAACAGCATCACGGCCGCATTGGACCAACTGAGGCAGCAGATGCAAGATTTGCGAAATGACCAAGGCGAGAGACCTAGAAGGGACAATTCCGTGACCGACCGCATGACAGTCATCGAAAACCGACTTCAAGTTCTGGACGAATTCACTCGTCGTTTGGTTCAAAGTGAGTTAGAACAAGTTAAGCTTCAATTGCTTGACAAACCTGCCGAATTCATCAAGAACACCATCACTGGCACTTGGCATAAAGCCGCGGTAGATGGACTCGGACACCCTCCTTCCCGATGGAAGACAAGGTGTGGGTGGCCCTTTGGACTAAATGAATTTTGTAGGAACTCAAAGTTGCCTTCAAATTTAATTAAGAAGTGTGATAGATGCTTCTCTTTTGAACAGGATGCACAGGCACGCCAGAACGACATCGATGAAAGTGACTCGTGCTGAAAACATCCGCAGCTTCACACCACACAGCCAGGAGCGACCATAGCAGACAGAGGTGAGAGCCTGTCTTCTGCCAGGTCATCGCGGAGCGGATTACCTCCGTGGACCAGGCTCTCGGTCGAATCCAGGCAGGGCCACGGAGAGATACGACCTCCGTGCATGCCTGTGCATTTACTGGCATTGGTGATAAAAAT